TGAAATTGAGTGAAATTGGGTAGACGGAACCCTTGGCGTGATCAGTAGCTGAACAAGGTAAGGCACTCAGTCACGATGGCTTATGAATTTATGCTAACACAAACATTCGTTTATCCAATTGCACTCGCAGTGCTATCTCGATCGAGTGTGCTGGTTCAAGTTGTTGATCACGCCAGATAACACGCTTCTCTCCCAGAAACTGTAATTAAGGTCTGCTCAGCATAGTTGCAGTATAAACCACAGGTGGGCTCTGTGGGTGTTGAATACAAATGCGCCTGATTGGCTAGCCGGCCTAGTAGATGGGTATACTCGAATACGAGTGGCCAGCTTAGAAACGACGTTTAATCCTTTCTTCTTGCTTTCCTTTAATAGAATTGTTATAGAAGGGTTCCACACACTTATACACAATAAAAACCAACAGATTAAACCAGATGGGTAAACATATTTATGTGTGTGTACGTCTCTACGCATGCATGGTTGGTGATCTTGCAGACATCTGAGCCATAAGCTGTGGTCTTCGCCCGTGTGCACAAGTGCAAAAACCCATTACACTTATACACAGATATGCACACATGCATAATAATAGCATGGTTAGCTAATCTCTATTGCAGACGTCTGCTCGAGGATATATGCGTCCAGTACCCATAGACCCAGCCTTTGATGAGCAAAGTTACATCTGGAAGAGAGATCATAATCGGGTGTGATCAGTAGCTGAACAAGGCAAATACACTCAAACTCTCGCTCACGATGGCTTATGAATTTATGCTAACAGAAACATTCGTTTATTCAATATCACTCGCTGTGCTATCCCGTACCATCACCAAAGTTAAGCAAAATCAAGCTTGGTCAATAAGTAGATGGGTGACCGCTTGGGAATATTATGTACTGTAAGCCTTGGTGTCAAAGGTGATGTGATTGATAATGGCACGAAATTGTTAATAGGAGAGCCGAGTTCCAATTCCGGTCGGGTTCGTTATATTCGCTTACGCGAAAAAGGAAAGGCATGAACCCACATTTACCCCCAGCTATTATAATTATTATTAAGATTTGTATCACTAAGACATTATTACCTCCAAAAATAAAATTGCGTACAAGATACCGTAATTCTTCATGAATAATACGCATTTTTTCTAAAAAATAGTAAGCAAAATCAGGGGGGGGCGTATTATGCACAGCTACAAAAAAAACTTTAAAAAATTGCCGTAAAATAAAATAAAAATTATCATAAAACTAAATTAGAATAATATTATTTTATGTTTAAAACCATTTTTAAAAATAAGATTAGGAAAGGCTGGTCGTAATGAAATTGGAGCGGTACAATTTATAGGGTTTGATTACCAAACAAGGGGTGCGTATTATGCGTGAGTAGAAGCATTTTCTCACACTTTCAGCACAATTTTAGATTTTATATTATAGATGTAGGCGTATTATACATAGGGAATTTAATATTTAAAAAATATTAGTTTGGGATTAATTCATGACTTATATATTTAAATGACATGGGGTTATGAAACATTTAATTTTTTAACATTTTCATAGACGTGGAGGGGGAGGAATTCTTTCAGCAAGAGAGATTATTGGAAAATCCAGAGCGCAGATTTATATTTTGATATGATTCGATAGCGGTACTCTTCAGTATTTTCCGTCTAAGTTACTGTAATTCCCCATGTATAATACGCATATTTTTTTCTAAAAAATTAATTAGGTCAATTAGAATAATATTATTCTATGTGTTTTTAATAAGAGTAGGAAAGCCTAGCCATAATGAAATTGGAGAGGTACAATTTATAGGGTTTGATTACCAAACAAGGGGTGCGTATTATGCGTGAGTAGAACCATTTTCTCACACTTTCAGCACAATTTTAGGGGTGCGTATTATGGATGAAGGCGTATTATACATGTGGGAATTCCGGTATTTAGATTTCGGTATTAAACAGTACATAGAGTTTGTTTAGCCGTTAAATAAATACAACCAACTAACAAATCCTCGACAAATCTATCATTGTGAGATTCGAAACCGGACCCTAGTTTTGGATCGTTAATGCCTATAACCACTCAGCCATGCAGCCCTTGCTGAAATACTCACTCAGGAATTTACACTCATGGATACACATTCATAAAAATATTCACATACCGACAAAATATACAAGTCAGACACATACTCACACACATATTTACACACGCAGACACACACACACACGCGCACACAGAGTCAGGCAATCATTCACGCATACGAGTGAATCCGATGACCCATCGTAGGGGCCCTTACTATACATTGATGTTTTTAGGTGTTTCTAGCCCAACCCTTTCCAGGCCGGTTTTGAATTCATTGTTTCATTCTCCTAGACTGGTTGACACCCAAGGCTAGAGAACCCGGACTGTCCTTCTATTTAGCTGGGGGGAATGGGGGAAGAAGAAGATTCATACCTTTCTCAGCACGTAAGTGAATGTAATGGATTCGACTGGAATTTGAACTCGACTCTCCGATTCCTCAATCTGAGCCGCTGTCCATTACTCTACCGTACCGCCTTTTCACGCATGCGCACACACTCAAATATATTCTAATCTACATATACGCATATAAACACTCCTGTTTCAGACTCCATCGCTAAAGATGCTCAAAAAAAGGGGTCGGTTCCTTGTACCAAACCAGAAAATATCTAACTCCTTCTACCATGCTTCATCTTTACAAGAATCAGACCAACAATGGCGTATTGCTGCCATGTCTGGTTTATAGATGTTCAATCTTCACTCTCCAGCCGTAACATTGTTCAAAATCGTTTGCGTAGCCTTGAGGGCGATTAATTATTTTCCAGCTTACAAGCCCTTTCCCGCATACAAAACGCCGCTACTCTGTCCCTAATTTCATGTTCAAGCGGGCTGCATTAATTAGTCCCACTAATCCAGACTTTCATAGCTAGGACCTGTCATACCAAAGTACCTAGAGACGACTCATTCTTTTTCCCTTCACATTCCATTGATTCAAACAGCTTCTCCGCCAGAACTGTTACTTCATTGTACAGATATCCAAGACTATGTTACTTCGATCACTAAATCTCAACCTATACAACTCTCGAGTCAAATGTTATTTATCCTACACCCTTATGCAAATTAATTGAAACAACCGCTTTAGTTTCCTTTCTTTCCCCATACGGACAGTATTAGACCCACTGATGTAACAGGGTGTAATAGATTTCTATTTTTACTCAGATTAGGTCATTTGCAGTGGTGTGCAGTAATATGAATCTATTTTCAGGGTGTATGATGAAATTTGTTTGCCCTTGAAAAATATTACGTCATTCGTGATTGCATCAAATTTTTATCACGCCCAGACACTATTCTCTCGACTGTCGATTAGTTGTCCTACGGCCATTATCTGCGATGGACGTTACTCCAAGGAAGCGTACGAAAATTTTAATGCTACACGAACACACTGGCAAGCCTTATTGGTGAGCAAATCAAAGTACTATAGATTAGCCCGCAAACACTTCTGATTTAAATCCCATGGAGAATATGTGGTCAATCTGCAAGAAACGACTTCGGGAAAATGGGGATACGAAGTACAAACATGTGCGCTGGGTCATGTTGCATTGGAAAAACACGAAAAAAAGTAAATAATAACGGAATTATTCATTTTGTTTCAATTAATTTGCATAAGGGTGTAGATATTTGCCGGAGACCTCCTCCACAAGCCGGGATGTGAAGCAAGGCGGGTTACTTTTTTACGTAGAGCATTCCAAGCCCGTAGGCTCGGGCAAAAATTCACCATAGACCCCGTATACACGGAGTCTGGTTGCTGTCTACCTCCGCAGTCGAGAGTCTGCCCTTCAGTATAGCCTGGTCTAGGGCCCTCTCTGTCCGGAGGCAGAAAGTTGGACAAGATAGGTAAAAACTCATCCCCTATAAATATTCATAATCTACAATTCTTCCATCCACAAAATAACAACATTCAGTAAATGTCTACCTTGAGTAGCTCTTTGGCCTTGTAAACAGTAGTATAGAAAATACACACATGCACTCTATTCAACACACGTACTGACAAACTGTTACGATATCAAATATTAGGCTTTCTATTCAGCAAATATTTGGTGAATACTTTGTTGATGGCTAAACTATTAAAATATTTATCTATCTCTTAATACACTGGTTAGCTTCTGGAGGGCATTTTAGGCACATTGGGGTAGCCAAAGATGCCTTTCAAAACCTACGCGGTTTTTAAGCTCAAATATTTAACGATGTGATAAGGGAATTTCTACTGATAGCTTATTGTCGTAGAACTCGCCATGGGGTTATTCAATCATTAACTTAAGAATTAAGAATCATCAGAATATTAAATTAAGAAAACCGTGAAGTTCTCACGGACACTGCTAATAATAACTTCTAGTAATGCCTTTGCATAAGTATTGAACCACTTCAACTAATACATAGTTGAGGTACATTTGGTATCGATTAAGACTTTTGCATCTCTTGCTTGTTATTTTCAATCATTCTCCAATTTTGAATTTTTCCAAATCATTCCCATTCAATGGCTTCCGTTTACGAACAGCAATTTTCAATTCATGCCACAAATGTTCAATTGTATTTCGTTCCGGTTATTGGGAAAGCCATTCCAATAGAGTAACCCTTATTCGTCTTAATTCGTTCTGAACTGGTTTTCGAAGTAAGTAACGATTGATTGTCTTGTTAGAAGAAAAATCGCCTGGTAAATCTCAAATATCAGAGGGTAAAATAATTTTTTTTTTTCGAAAGAATGGAGTGTTATTTTAGCGAACCCATTTTCTTTTCAATCCGGGTGAGTTTGCCAGCAACCGTTATCTTTGGCAATTCGGACATGACGGGCATCGGGCCTAAAGTTCTTTTGTTTCCAACATTGGCGTTATTCTATTTTAATCATTTTACACAAAGCAAAGGGAACGGAGTCGCTAAGAGGCGAAGGGTTACTGAGGGTGAAAGAATATGAGAAAAGGAAGAAACATTATGAAGCAGACAGGGAACAAAACTTAATGGGAATTAAGAAAACAGATAGATAGATAGATAGATAGATAGATAGATAGATAGATAGATAGATAGATAGATAGATAGATAGATATGAAAAAGACAGATAGATAAAAAGAAGTTGATACATATATAGACAGATATGAAAAGTCATCGATATATATATATGCATATATATATATATATATATATATAAACACAAGAGACATATATATATATATATATATATATAAATAAATATATATATATATATACTATAAAATATATATATATATATAAATATAAGATATATTATATATATCTTTATATTATATATATATATTTATATTTATATATATATAAAGAACTATATTTATATATATATATATATAAATATATATATATATATATATATTCTATATAGATAGATACAAATATGAAAAAGACGGATAGATAATAAGAAGTTGATACATATATAGACATATATGAAAAGTCATCGATATATATATATATATATATGCACGTATATATATATATGTGTGTATATATATATATATATATATATATATATATATAAAGAAAAAGAAAGAGCGAGATAGTATATATATATATATATATATATATATATATATATATATATATATATATATATATATATAAAGATAGATAGATAGATAGATAGATAGATAGAAAACTTTAAAATAATACTACGTCTTCCTGGTAGGTTTCAACTCCGACCATTAACATTTTATGTATATATATATATATATATATATATATATATATATATATATTGCGTAAATTTTGGCAGCATGTTTCCATTGAAATATGTTTCATTGAATAAAAAGTCTTGCCTCCTTATTTTCAATCAATTCTTTCATATTCACCGACGTGATTTTTGGTGGCATTATTAAAGAAAGAGAGAAAAACGCCATGTTGATACGTATTATTATATTCTGAGTACTTTCGACATACCACAATGTCATCATCAGAGAGTTTTTCTTTTATTTCAATACGAATATTGGAATCTGTTTGCATTATTCGTCCTCGTCTTTGTTGCCATATTTCTCACAACGTTTCGGCCGTTGTACGCTCCGGCCTTATTCAGGTGGTTGGAATGTCAAACTGAACCCATATCTAACGGACACATGGCACAGTGGATAAAGATGTTGGTTAGATCCAGTGACTGTACCCAAATAGTTCTGAGTTCAATACTTGGTTAAGGCAGTGGGGAACTTGGAGAGGTGAATTAACAGGAGATAATTGATAATTGACATCCATTAGACATGGCATGTGCAACTAGAAGAGTCTACCCCAGTGGACAAAATAAAGGGTCCAGTTCGATGTTCCAACCACCTGAAGAAGGCTAGAGAGTACAACGGCCGAAACGTTATGATAAATATGGCAACAAATATGAGGACAATAGTCCGAATAATGTAAATAATGTATATATCTCATCTCAGAAATATAGACATATATTGAATATTGTAATATTCGTAGCTGTTGATGACATTGTGCTATGTCGAAATTACTCGAAATAATATATATATATATATATATATATATATATATATATATATGTATATGTATTCCCTTGTTGATGATTACATCATACGAGCGGGCATGATTTAAACTAGACCTAATATCAGGTACTCTATTCCATTCGCTGAATTCTATTTTTAATTAATTATGATAAGTTCTGTGTTCAACATCTGGCTGTTATTTTGTGTCTGGTTGCTTATGAGTGCATCTAAATACATTAAAAGGAGTATATTTCTTTCTCTCTCCGCTCATATATATATATATATATATATATATATATATATATATATATATATATATATATATATATATATATATATATGTACATGAAAAATATATATGCGTTACTGCGTCTGTGTGTGCAATTAAATAATTGCTTATTTTGTCGTTGAATGTGTTTTATGGCTGAAGTTAGTTTCGTAAAAAATGTTGTACTTTGAAGGAAGGAAATGGAATGCAATCATATATATATATATATATATATATATATATATATATATATATATATATATATAAATATAACCCGTTAACAGTAGCAAACCACAAATAAAAGTTTCTAATTTCATTGATATATATATATATATATATATATATATATCAATTATGATTCTGTCTATCTATTTTAATATATATATATATATATATATATATATATATATATATATATATATATATATATAAATATATATATATATATATATATATCATTTACAATTCTGTCGCACCTTAAAAACATAGCCCCGTATCCGGCGTCGAAGAAAGAGAAAGGCTGTAGAAGAGAAACCCCGACCGAAAACATATTTAAAGATCAGCTTTTAATATGTATATGAAATAAACTTCATTATATATATATATATATATATATATATATATATATATATATATATATATTAAGGCATGTGTTATTGAAGACTACAGAACTTTTCCGTTTAATAATCTTTTTTTTTATTCTAGCTTTTTTGCAAATTATTTTTTTTATATTTAGGTTTAAGTTGTTGAATGAAGACCCTCGTCAATTTTTTTTTTTATTATTATTTTATTTTTTTTATCGAGCGCTTTCGGTTGTCGTCAGCCGTCATCATGCCTGGATCTTTTGGTTTGTATTAGGTTGCCTATTATTTTATTTTATTATTAATATTTTGGTATTTATTTGATATTTGTATATATATATATATATATATATATATATATATATATATATATATATATATATATATATATATATATATATATTACATTAAATAACCCTTTCTATTTCTCTAATTTGCTACTTGATATTAATTAGACGACTGGAAAGGTTTATTATAAAAATAATTAGACATGTCTGTATTATTTAATGAAAGATGCTTGAATTAAGATCTGCTGCTTAAATGTATATATATATATATATATATATATATATATCTTTATATAAATATATATATATATATCTTTATATAAATATATTTATATATATCTTTATATAAATATATATATATATATATATATATATATATATATATATAGAGAGAGAGAGAGAGAGATAGATAGATAGATAGATAGATAGATAGATAGATAGATAGATAGATAGATAGTGTTGGTAGAGTTAGTTTGATAATAGGTAGCATTTAGTAAGCATTGGTGTCTGAAATGAAATGCTGATATCAAAATGAAACAGACTGCTAGATATCTCAAGTCGTTTTAAATGTTTATTGCTCTCACATACAAACACAAAAAAACCTGCAGAAGCAACTGCAATTGAATAAGCCCACTTATTTACAGTTAGTTTTTTTTTTTAGTTGTTTTTTTTTACCTGGACATCTGCTGTAGATGCGCTAATAAGAATATTTTGGGTCCCTCTTTCGCAGACAATAAATTCTATTCTTGTACGCAAGCCGTTTCTTTCTTTCACTGCCTTCCTCAGTAAACAGTTCTTCAACTACCAGACGTCAAACCCCCACGGAGCATTTTTATCTGATATTTAGATTCATTTCATTGTTATTTCTTCAAACTGTATCATTCGGCATCTTTTTTCTTTTTCTCTGAGTTATATTAATATATATTCTTACCTTCATTTTCTTCTTTTTTCCATGTCAACTTTTAGTCTTCATTTATTGACCTTTTATTTCACGATAAAGCTTCCCTTTTCTTTTTGTATTTTCCCACTTCGTCGTCTTTTGGAACGAAGAATAAGTAACGTCACTTTTTTTTCTGGTTGTAAAATAATTGAAGTTACTCTCTTTTTTTTTTCTTCTTTTTTTATCCAACTAATTCTAGCCTCTTTTTCGTTCCATCTCTTGTACACGTCTTAAAATCCGCTTTTTTTTCCCAAGGGTTTGAAGAATGGGTCTTTTTTTTTCGTTTTACTATTATTAATTCTCTTGTTCTTCGATAAGACTTGCGAATATTTTCCCATTTCTTTTTTGGCGTTTCTTTTCTATTTATTTATTTATTCTTTTTTTTTTCTTCTTTTTTGTCGTCCTACCTATCTCGCCTCCCATTTCAGGGTTACTCGACGTTCAAGCTATTTATAACTCACTGGGATACCCACTTCCAGCGACGATAAAACCACATATGATACATATATAAGGGAACACAGGTATCCGGTCGGCATATCGACACACAAACGTGGTACACATCTAGATAAATAGTAATTGTTTACATATGACAGCAGCACAGAAAGCTAGGTGGATTAGCAAATTCGTAATACGTCAAGTTAATTTCTCTTCTTCTGTGTACTGTATAACTTAAGTAAATGAATGAGCATGGCTCTCCAAAACATCCCATAACTTTTGTCTCATTCTTCTCCCTTTCTCGCTCCTGTTCCGTCATCTATTCACACAAGATCGTCAGACTCATGCCTTTGTTTTATCTCTCTTGCTCTAGATACGCCCCGTGAGGGTTAAGTTTTTCAAGTCCTACTTCCTCATTGTGTCCTAGAAATTTCAGCCCTCACTTTCTGGGCATAAGTGCTGTTTTTGCTGCCATTTTCTTTAAAAACTTCACCGTTGCTTGCTCCCTCCATCCATCGAATTCTCAGTATTCTTCTGTAGAACCACGTTTTTGTTGCTTCCAGTTTTCTCTTCATCTATCAAGAGATTGTTCGGCATAATGGATATCACATAGCAATCCAGCTCTTTTTTATTTGCTTCTAACGAATATTTGTTAATACATTCGATATACACCTGTTGAATGCCGGACAGCACTACAACCGAAACGTTGTGATAACAACAACAAAGATGGGGAAAATAGTTCGACTATAACAGTGTAAATAATTATAACTCCTCATCCTAAAAATTCAGACAGAACATTTTTAAAAAGTTCTTTCATTTAAGTGCTGTACGTGATAAGCACTTGGTTGATCATATCTCTTTCGATTCATAACTGGCGAGGCAGAAGATTTTTTCCGACATTCGATTGCTGTTTTTTTCTTTTTTTTGCGGTAGACTTATTGTCAATCAAAGCTGCAGGACTCAGTCTATCTTGTTATTCAACCCTTAGGTGGGGTAGAAGAGATGGATTCATGCCTTTCCCAAGGATTTTTGCGTATAAGTGAACGCAATAAACCTGACTGGAATTTGATCACGTGTCTCCAGTTCCGCATTCAAAGCCGATATTCATTACACCAAG